TTTCTAATAAAGATTCTTTTTCTGTAAAAGGCTATAGCCCATGGTTTTTTCAAAAAATGGCTCTGAAATCACCCCAAATTTTTATTACATTTTTTGATACATATTGATGTCTTTATGCTGTGTAGAAAGTTTGAGCTGATTCTGACCTCAATTTTCCAAGTTATGGCCATTTTTTAAAAACGGCTAATTTTTGAAAATTTCGCTGTACTATATATAGCCCATGCTTTTTTTTCCAAAAAATGGCTCTGAAATCACCCCAAATTTTTACTACATTTTCTAATACATATTGATGTCCTTATGCTGTCTAGAAAGTTTGAGCTAATTCCGACTTTAATTTATCAAGTTATGGCCATTAAAAAAACGGCTGATTTTTGAAAATTTCCCTGTACTATAGCCCATGCTTTTTTTTTAATGGCTCCAAAATCACCCCAAATTTTTATTACATTTTCTGATACACATTGATGTCTTTATGCTGTGTAAAAATTTTGAGCCGATTCCGAGCTTAAATATTCAAGTTACAACCATCTAAAACTCTCTCCCTCTCTGTTTCTCTTACTTTTCAAGTAAGACGATTGCGCTTTCCTAAAATCCACTGATAGATCTTGTAGTGTGATTGCTAGCGATGATACAACATTCTTAGCAACTTTCTTTTCCTGATCTGATCCATTTTTAGCTTGTCTGTTGATTACTAATAATCCTTGCTTAGCCCTACTGAACATCTGAGAGAAGAGAGAGAGAGAGAAATATAATAATTGTAATGATTATAGTATGTAGAAAATGGCTAAATTTAGCTTTGCATTAAAGTACATGTACCAGGATTCAGGCTAGAAAAAATTAGAGGTGTTCGGAGACTAATATTTTCCTTTTAAATTTATGAATAATATCATGCTTTATGTATGGTTATCAATATAAATTCACTGGTTGGCCTTAGTGATGAACTGGTTGGTTCATTTGTTGAGGTGGTTAACCACCATAGGCAGAACTATGACGTATATGTACATGTATAACTAATCATTACTTGTGATATTTCAGCAGTTAGTATGTCAATGTTGTGTTCTTCTTCAACATCATCAAACACATCAGGTCTTGTACTGTGTTTATCCTGTAACTCCTCCAACTCATGCACTGGAGGATAGGAAGGGAGGGAGAGAGAGGAGGGAGAGAGGGAGGGAGGGAGGAGAAAGGGGGAACGCATATGATGATGAAGTTTATGATTTTTAATTTCATTTACTTCTTCTTTTGATTTGCGTCACTTCATAATCAATCTAATAAAACACAATAAATAAAATAAAATAAATAAATAAATCAGCTAATGTAAGTTTATAATGCAAATATCAGCCTTACTTCTCCCAGTAAATGAGTCCTACAAATAAATAAAGAGAGAGAGAGATATTAGGAAGAAAGAGGTAGACCAATAATACAGTAAAAGGTAGGTACAGTATATGTATAGTATATACTCACCAGTCTGGTGCTGCTATAGTAACATCAGGTTCAGTTTTATCATGTTTAACTAATGCCACAGTATCATCACCAGAACTCTATAATAATATATCATGATTATAATACACATTATGTCACATGTTACACATAATACTAATACACATAATACACACACATAATATTATTAGTTACACATGTACATGTCTAAAGGTATGCACTGCACTGTTGGCAAATATACCGTATATCGGGTATATTTCAATGCATGAAAAGTCGTGGAAATATTAAGTTCAATGATGGAATAATTCGGAAGCATTTTATATTCCGAAAATATTTTACTTGCTATTATTTCCATCAACCACCTGGTTTGGTAAGTCATTCGAAGCATTTGCTGACTTCTCCACTTCTGAATCAACCTTAGCAACACTTCTAACTGGCAAAGAACTAAAGAAGGCTCTTTATGGCCTTCGAGTTAGACTAGAATGTAGCCATGAATAGTTATGAAGCCACGTGTTCATAATAATTGTACAATACCACATATCTTCTATTCCTTTTTATCCGCATATTTTAAAATTTCATAATATTTATTTTCGCAATGGATTGCTTTTTCCGAAATTATTAATGCATTGAAATATACCCGATATACGGTAATGGTCATGTGTCATTAATAAGCATGTGTACAAACAAAGGTTTAAAATGGTTTGGTTTCATCTTGGGAAATATGACTCAAAGTCACAAGAATTTATACATTATACATGTACATGTACATATAAAGGCATGTACTGTATAGCTGGTAATTTTTAAGGGGAAATTAAATTTGTGGTCACATGTCACTAATAAGCATATGTACGATCAATGGTTTAAAATGGTTCGGTTTTATCTTGGGAAATAAAATGGCAGTCAAAGTGATCAGAATTGTACCTCAATATGTACATGTACATACACGTACCAATACAAGTACAGTGTAGATTCAATTACACGTACACTAAGACAAAACTGTTCTAAATCAGACATTTTACCTTTAACCATTAAACGCTAAAGATTTTATGGAATGCACAAGTTACAACTACATGTACATGTACATGTATTAAATATCGTAGCCCCATCAGGCCCACACACTAACCCATCTGACATCAAGGTCATCAGCATTACCGTCCCGTTGAGAGAGTGAGGCTGCTCTTTGTCTCAATTGAAGGAACAGAGCAGTATGAGAGATAAAGGCACCAATATGTACCGTACTACCGACTGATGTCATTACAGCGGGTCTGGCAAAAGCGGCCATCTTTAAATAGGAGGATAAAAGGCTTCTGGATTACTGAGAGTAGATAATAGCAGTAGAAATAAGAGGTGTTGTGTCTTCTTTATAGCTTAAAAGTAGTTAAAAAGTTGAGTAAAACGGCCCTCCTTTCACTTTGTTTAGTAAGCAAGGGCGTGGCAATAACATAGAAGGTGTGGTCTAATTTGACCACGCCTAAGTTATTTACACACGTGCTTCCACGTGGGTAAGGCGGAGTCTCGAGGTGAAAGGCGTGGCAGTTCCAATCTAATTTCTAAACAATGAGTAGCTCTTCGGAGAAAGAAGACCAAGACAGAGAGGACGGAGTATTACTCGATTCTGATGAACCTCAGGCTCAGGATGACAAGAGAGAGGGAGGAAAAGGAGAGGAAGGAGGACTAAAAAAAGAACTATCATTATTTAACTCCGTCACGTTTGTCGTTGGATCCATAGTAGGCTCAGGGATATACATCACTGCCAGCAACACTGTCAAATACTCAGGATCGATCGGCCTATCACTAGTAATGTGGCTTCTTGGCAGCCTAGTGGCTGTAGCTGGAGGACTCTCTTATATGGAGATTGCTACACTGATACCCAGTTCAGGCGGGGACTATGCATATCTTAGAGAAATGTATTCTTTTGGTAGAAGAGGAGAAAGGAAAAGGGAGAGACGTGGGGAGGAGGAGACGAGAGGCGAAGAGGATCTCACACTTAAGGATGGGGACGGTGAAGGGTTTTTCGTTACATTTGGTAGCCTCCTTGGGTTTTTGTTTGGATGGTCGACCGTTGTTTTAATACGTCCAGCATCTAATGCAGTCCAGTTATTGACTTTTGGCAAGTATTTCTCTCATGCACTTTTGTTGGTTGGTGGAATTTGGGGTGGAGCTACCAGTGAGCTGGTGACAATACTGGCAGTGATAAGTGGAAGTGAGCTTAATGTCTAGAATTCATTGTTTTCGAATATTTATTATTTTAAATTATTTTTTAATTATTATATACCATAAGGTGCCTTTTTTAGGGCTGTAAATTTTGCGAATTTGCCTAAAAATTTATTTCGTGGATTTAGTTTCACAAATTTGTGCCGTCTGCCATTTTGTATTATAATAATTTGGTTTTTGCAAAAGTATTTTTTGTGAATCTTAAAAAAATTGTGAAATCTATAAAATTAAAAGGTGCCCTATGGTAATTGTTGTGAGTTTAGTTTATGCTTGTACATGACATGTACATTTACGTATTAGAATATATTTTTGCTTTTTCTCTGTTTCTCTGTCTCTCTTAGTTATACTGACGTTGATAAATATATTTAGTGTAAAGCTAACGGCTCACATTATGAATATCTCTGGTATTGCTAAGATATCTTGCATGATATTCATTAGTTGTATTGGAGTATGGACATATGCTAAAGGAGGTCAGCTGGTGTGATTGTTAACTACATGTACATGTACATGTACATCAATACATGTACATGTACATGTAATTAATGGTATTAATCTATATATCCTTACTGGTACTGTAGAGCAGGAAATTTCTGTTGGGTGCTTAGTTTTTGTTTGTTTTGTTGGCCAAAAATTTAAACTAAATTTTTAGACAATGAAAATTTAATCTAAATAAAATTTTTGACCCACGACAGATCCTTTTTCACTATACAGCCACGGCGTAGCAATCTGTGGCATTATCAGGACCGACACAAAAATCAGTTCTTCTCCAACTGATGGGCTCCAATGTCTTCCATTCATGAATATTCATGAATGTCTGTTTGATGTTAATGGATGAATGAAGTGTTTTTCCAATGCTATAGAGACCACTACATGGAAACCATTTGACAGAATTAACAACTTGTCATACCGTATAGGGCATAATGTTCGCGGGATACAAATTTCGTAAAATTCGCGAAAATAAAATCCAAGAATTTAATACAGTACCCGCATGGCACGCCTGGTAGAATTCGCAAAATTAAAATCCGCAAATTTGAATTTTAGTAGATTTCATGAAATTTGCATCCCACGAACATTATGCCCTATACGGTAACTATGCCTCCATGAATATATTTAAAACAGATACACACCTCTTAGGAGGTGTGTATCCATTATATAATGTGGTAACCATGGACCATAGACATTCTTCCATCTTAAAACCATACATTTGGCACTAATTAAGTGGGTGTGGTGGTTAAAATTTACATTAAGCAAAATGAAACTAAAATCAACGAAAATACCTTTTAAAGCCTGCTTGGAAAGACAACAAAAGTTTCTGCCAACGAAAATTTCCTGCTATACGGTATTTCATTTTGTTTTTCTGCAGATTATTCCGATAATTTTGATAATGTGTTTGATGGTACTAGTACTTGTATTGGTGACATTAGTTTAGCTTTGTATTCAGTATTGTGGACTTATGATGGATGGTGAGTGCTAATATAATTATATTAATTAATAATAATATTATTATTTATTTTATAGGAATTCATTAATATATACTGTTGAAGAAACTAAAAATGCCGAAAAGTTAGTCAAATGCACACATTTTAGGCAACTTTAAAAATTTAAGCAACTTTAAAAAATTGTAAAAAATCTATTTTTTTGTTGGAATTGTCTCAAACTCCCTATGCAATGTAAGAACTTGTGTACGTATCAGATAAAATTATAAAATTAGAGAATTCTCTCCTTTTCATTTTTGGCAAAATTTGGCCCGTGACCCTGTACTGTAGTACAGGGACTTTTACCTAAATTTGAAGCAACTTTAAAAATTTGTAAAAAAATCTAATTTTGATCGGAATGAGCTCTAACTTTCTACACAACATAAGTACATGTATATGCATCAGGAAATGTAATAAAAATGGAGAATTCTCTACTTTTCATTTTTGACAAAATTTGGCCTGTGACCCTGTACTATAGTACAGGGACTTTTACTCAATTTTGGAGCAACTTTAAAAATTTGTAAAAAATCCAATTTTGATCGGAATCAGCTCAAACTTTCTACACAGCATAAGTACATGTATATGCATCAGGAAATATAATTAAAATGGAGAATTCTCTACTTTTCATTTTTGGCAAAATTTGGCTCGTGACCCTGTACTATATATAGTACAGTGACTTTTACCCGATTTCGGAATAATTTTAAAAATTTTTTAAAAATCTAATTTTGATCGGTATCAACTCAAACTTTTTATACTACATTTAAAATTGTCACCCACTTGAGATGAAATTTCATGATAATTCTTTACTCTCCCTCTCTCTCTCTCTCCTTCTCATTAGAAATCTACCCAAAGGTATTCTGATAGGTGTACCAATAGTTACTGTGTGTTACCTGTTTGTGAACTGGTCCTACTACATCAGTTTAAATAAACATGAAATACTATCATCTGAAGCTACTGCACTAGTAAGAGCTAATGCTAGTAATTATTATTATTATTATTAAATTATTATTAGTATTATTATTGTTTATTTATTTATTATTAGTATTATATTATTTTATTTATTTATTATTAGTATAAGTATTATTACCATCTATCTGAAAATTTTTACTATGACTTTAATCTGCTTTAATTTATTTAGATTTAGAAATTTGCTAAATTAGATCACCCATATAGTTACATATGTCACATTCAATAATACATGATACAGTCTTAAATTAAATTGTTAAAACATTTGTGGTTCCTTTGATCTAGTAAGCAACATGTTACCATGTACATGTAATTAAAATGGTAACACAATTTAATTAACAATTATAAAATTAACAATTTATAGAATACTATTTATACACCATTTGCTAAAGCATACATTTTCAAATGCATGGTATTAATTATAATTGTTATTATTATTATTTTCTCTCCCATTAGACACTGGGTAATGTAACATTAGGATCAATAGGAGTGTTATTGATATCAGTATCAGTATCAATATCAACACTAGGGACTGGACTGATTGGTATGTACAGTGGATCAAGGGTTGCTTATGTACTGGCAAGAGATGGTAGCCTAATGAACACTTTTAGTGGATTACACAACCAATGGAACACTCCTATACAAGCTATACTACTACAAGTTAGTTAATGTAATAATAAAATAAATAAATAAATGTGTACATGTACATGTATGATAATAGAGTAGTAGAAACAAGTTGAATTTTGTGGGTTGATTGGCTTGTCACCTATTTGTTAATGTACATGTACATTCTAAGTATAATTACATGTATCTCGTTTGTTACTATTCTTTTGTACATCCTTCTTTCTCTCTCCCTCCCTCCCCTCTTTCTCTCTCCCTCCCAGTCTATTCTTACTCTATTATATGTACTGGTTGGTAATATAGGACACATTATTAATGGGCTTAGTCCTGTTATGTGGTTGTTCTATTGTCTATCATTCATTGGTCTACTAATAATGAGATACACTAAAAGAAATATTAAGAGACCATTTAAGGTACTACATACATGTACAATGTACACACAATCATCTAAATTTAACTAACTATATGTGTATTGTACATGTACATGTGTATATACTGTATAGCGGGAAATTTTGGAGGGAGTTCAATTTGGCGAATTGCTTAATTTTGGTGATTGGCAAATTTTAATTTAGCAAATCAGTGGCCATGTGCCATTGAGCATGCTCATAATGGCTCAAATTGGAGGATGTTAATTTTGGCAAATGGCTATCAAAACGCCAAATTTTGCCAAATTTTATTCCCTCAAAAATTTCCCGCTATACACCATTATAGCACAACATTTTTGAAAGCTGTAAATTTTTGCGGATTTTGCAATTTTTTTAAGCATCACAAAAACTACTTCTGCATAAATTTGTGAAAATTAAAATCCTCAAAACAGATTTTTTTAGTAAATTTGTGAATTATATAGCCCTCGAAAATTTTGCACTATACAATACATCTTCCTCTCTCTCTCTCTTAGGTATGGACTCCCGTTCCCATGGTGATGATATGCTCCGCCCTCTTCCTAATAACGGTTCCATTAGTGTTTGTATCAGGAGAGAGGTGGTATATATTATTAGGACTGATACTAGTATTGACTGGTGCTCCTGTCTATCTATTATTAGTACACAATAAATATAGACCAGCTGTATTTACAAGGATAAGCAGTAAGTAGCTATATTTATTACATATTAATTAAGTACCATTATCATATTAGTTATACTGTATAAGGTATTTTTTGCTTTATAATACAAAAAATACAAAATAGTTGCACTAAATTTGAGCCACCCAAACAATTTTTATTACAAATTTAAGCACATAATTTTTTTCAAGCACACTTCTTTAAAATATTTATTTGCATCAAATTAAAATTTAAAAAAGTCAAATCATTAATATTACCTTTATACAGTGTCAAGCAGTGTTATTAAGAGTTAGATAGTGAAATGAATTATAATACTTAGTTGTTTTTACTTTTTTATTTTTGTGTGTGTGTGATATGTAGGTATGATAACTGATGTTTCCAATAAGATATTTTATACTTCATCATTCAACAATACTGAGGACATAACTATTGAATATTCATATCAATAATAAAATTCATGTAGCTATATATTATTTATTCATCACAATTCAGTAGTTTTAATATGTACTATTGGTAGTGGTTTGTGTGGTTGTTCTTTTCTGTGTATATCAATCAATGTCTTCTTTTGATTTTTAAAAGTATCCTTTAAGAGAGGAGAACTGTGAAGATTTTGAGCACTAATCATAACATACTCAAGTGATTGATGGATGAAGATAGTTTCATATAAATTTTGTACTAGTTCTATCCAGTTAGGTTGAGATAACGAATTATCAATATCTTTACACACTATCCTCAGTAGTCTGATGGTTGTATGTGACTGTAACATGTTAGTAACAGCAGGTAGTACCTGTTCATAAAACAATGGAATCAGTTCCTTCTCTTCCCAATTGTGTGACTGATCTGGTTTGAAGTCCATTTTAAGTTCTGTGAGATTGTTCTTTTGAGAGATGACATTAATAAAAGTTCTTATCTCTTCATTCAGTGGAATGGATGCACTCAACTGCTGTAGACTGGTGTTGTGTCTGAGACCAGTTGTTAGGAAGGACAGGAATGAACTGGGAATGTCATTATACTCATAATACTCGTACCTGTAATTGTTAATCTCAAAGTATTTCAGTGTTTGGTTTTGTGTTAGCATGTCTTGTAGACTAGTACCCATACTGCTGGTATATACTCTCTCCTCCTCTATCTCCACACTCAGAGCTTTAAGTGTAGTATTGGTTTGTAGAATAGTAAATAGTTCAATAGCACTCTCAGCTGTGTATAGTGGTAAAGTAAGTGTATGTAGACTGGGATGAGAGAGAAATAGATGTAGTGGGTATGGATCAGGTAGTATGATCACACTAATCATCAGGCAGTGTAATCCTTTGATATGTGGAAGGAGTGATGATGTCATCAGTTTACTATTCTTCCATCCTCTTATCTCTAGAGCAGTCAGTGGTGTGTTCACCTCTACTATATTCAGTGATGATCGTAGGAGTTTATCAGGTATGTCCAGTGAAAGAGCTTGTAATGTGTTATTGTCCTTTAGTAACTGCTCTATTACTCCATCAGGTAGAGGAGGAGGAGAATGGACATAAGCAGCATCATGATCTACATGTATTGTTAATGATGCTATTGTTCTATTTCTTGTTACTCCTTTAATGACACTGATAATGGTGATAATAATGTTACTTGTTATTTCAGGCTTTCCTAGGCCAAAGTGTATAATCTTCATTTCTTGTAGTGTTGAATTCATTTCTATACATTTCTCAAGTTCAGTACACTTATCTGTGTAGTATGTATTGTCAACTGTTGGTATAGTAATTTCCTTCACTCCTAAGTGTAATATCTTTAATTGAGGAAGATTGAGGAACTGTAACAATACAAGACAAGGAACATATTGACTTTCGAATAATTCACAGTAGCACTCCTGAATATTGTGTAGAAGTGATGATTGTAATAATTTGTGCATTAATTCATCAGAGTGTCCACCGAATGATACCTCCAGTCTCTTACACTGGGTCTGTAGTGAGTTATTGGTTAGTCCAGCAGTGAAGACTGATAGTGACTGGTTAGATACATGCCACAGGTGCAAGTAATTCCATGTTGTGTTGGAATTGTTTATACAATAACTGAGACACAACCAGTCAAACAATGATAATAATACTCTTGATGATACTCTATTTATATATAGACACAGTAAGTGGTTGTTGATGGATTGTGCTAATACTTGACATAATGTTGTGTTCTGTGATTCATACAGGAGTTGAAAAAGAAGAATGGGAACATTGTCAAAATCATCAGAATCAATATGATCATCTAGTTTAATAGGTTCAGGATCCTGATAGAAGTAGGAGATATGACAAGTCTCAAATCCAACCAATGGTTCCCTCTTACACTGTAAGTCAAGTTGTTGTATATTAAAATACTGTTGATAGCTCTCATGTTCAAGGTGAGTTAGACCTGCTACAAACCTCAGACACATTCGAAAATGATCATCATCAAAGTGATCCTTAAAAACTTCCTCTGTCTTCTTCTCATGCTTAGCTATCCACCATGCAGCTAGAAACTCCTGTATACTCAAGTGAAGGAACTGATACTTCTTTTCATCATATTCTGTGAATGCTGTCATCAATCCGAGATAGTCTTCCTTGACTGCCTCACTCAGTGACTGTACTTGATGTGAAGAGAATGTCATTCTTGTATTAGCCAGGTTAGTATAAGCTAATTGACACATCTCTTGTAAAGGTTTAGCTAATTGTGATGGTAATGAAGAAAGACTACCTAAAGTATATGGGTCAATGTCATGTCTTGGTTTTATTTCCACATGTCTTCTGATAGTTTGTAGGATAAAATTCTCATAGAGTTGAGTGAGTGTTGTTGGTAAGTGTCCTCCTTCCTTACAATAAACTAAGATGGCCATGGAACAGACTAGTGGTACATAACACAATGATTGGACATCATTTCGTACTTGAAGATCATTAATGAGCTTCACTGCTAGTTGTGAGTCCTTACTGCTTTGAAAAGTTGTGAAAGGTCTATCATCATTGTCATCTTCTCTTTTCTTATCAATGAGTTCTTGTGCTAGTTTTGTATCTTTTTGAAGTGTTTGTATAATTACTGTTGATATTTCTTCCTTAGAAAACCCAATGACCTGAACATGTCTACTGAGAGTATCCATTTTCAAAAGTGAAGAGGAAGCATAGCTACGAGAGGTAACAATTACTGCACATTGGTCTAACTGCTTTCTATGAATGATACTAGCAGCTAATGAAGACTGTCTGAGTTGCTCACTTAGTTCATCCCAACCATCAAAGATTATCAGTAATCCTTCTCCATTCCTCTTCTCAAACCATTCAGCTACCATGTGAACTTCATAACATCTATACTCAAGCAGGTCAGCTAGTTTAGTAGCTGTAGCTATTTTGCTATTCCTTAAAGGACAGTAAAGTACCAAGTCATACTGTTGGTGTCCAAGTGGTCCATTAGACCACATATTTAACAGCTTACGACAGAGTGTGGTCTTGCCAATACCAGGAGGACCATCTATTACTACTCTGAGAGGCAGAGAACTATCTGTGGGTTGGAGGACATCTTTAACACTTATCTCTTTGTTTCCAGTTAGTTTAACTATTTCATCAACTTGTCCTCTTAGCAGATGCCAAGCTGATTTTGCTTGTGTGCTGGAGTCTTGTTTTTCTACTAGTGCTAATCTTCCAAAAAAATCTTTTCCAATTCTTGGTGGCCAGTCTGTAGCAACAATAGGTTGGTGTTTGTAGCGTTGTCTCATATTATCAGCATATCCTTGAACATCATCAGGTATTGAACTAACGGGTTTAGCTACAACAGACTGACCTCTTTGCAACTGAGCAAGATACATCATATAAAAATTATCCAAATATTTTACTATATCATCAATTGGTGATGATACATTATCAGGTATAGGCTGACCTAATGTATTGAGATATAATGACTATATTGATCACTGATAATGTACACACACACACACACTTACCTAACTGGTGTAATATAGAGGTAGCAATATCTGTTAGTGTATAATGTTGTTGGTTTATTAATACATGACATATATCAATAAGATACTGCTCTGGATTAAGAGAAGATTTCAACTGTTGCTCAATGACATTCACAAGTTTACTAGATTTCTCATTATTAGTTACTCCTGATACATGCATCTCCTCTTTAGTTTGTTGTGGTATCAGGTCTTTAGCATACAGTGCATCAGTTACATTGTATAGATTCACACTAATAGCATGAGCTAGTTTATCAGCATGAGTCCTTAATATATCCTTTGGATTACCTGCAGTATAGTGTATCAGTAAATGAGTGTTGTATTAAGTGTATGTTTACCTGTTATAGGACCAGGATTAGCACTACTGGTACTGACTTCCATATCATCATTAGAACTTCTTCCAGCAGTGGGATCTGTCACTTTGTCTTCAATAGTTTTAGCTAGTTCATTCTCTTTACATTGTTTCAAAGCATTAATGACATCTCTCCATGATGCTGTAGGATTAACTTGTAACCATCTCTTATGTAATGCCTCCATCCTGAGGTAAGAGCTTCCTTTTGTTTTAATTATATCAACATCAAGTTGTGCTATCCCACCAGGAAGGGAAAGAGCAAATGGTTCCCAATCATCAAGTGGTTCAAGATATTTTGCAAAAAAAGGACAAAATGGTTGACCATCAATCATAGGACCAGGATTGAGTTCAACATCTCCTGATAAAAGGAGGAGGAGAAGTAAAACCAAATAGTAGATCAGGTCAGAGCTACTACCAATAGTAGCTATAAACAAGACTAATGACTGGAGGCAGTGGATCATAACAGTAACAGTAATTATACCTATTGTAAATACACTGCATGATAATATTATGTAGGCTGTTAGTTTGTTTACCAGTTGGAGGAATAAAATTGAGCTTCACATATCTTAATGAAGATAAAAGAAGAGAAACAATAAGAGACAGAGCTGCTGGCAGTTTAGATGTCTTCTCTCCTGATGTAGTACTGCCTGACTTGCTGTCTACTGCAGCTTTGAATGAGTGAGAGTGGCGGCCATTAGCTGGTCTACTAAAGGCAGCTTGACAGTAGTTCCACAGTCCAATACTAGTCTCGCGTAGCGAGACTAGTCCAATACTGGCTCTCCATTGAGAGACATCAATCATCTTGTAATTATTAGTAAAGTATAATTAAAATGAACTATAATATACTTACCTTTATCACTCTTAATGATCAACTGTTGTAAGGTAAAGAAATGAAAAGATACAGTCAAAACTACAAGCCAATTTGTGCTGCAGTTGCAAAAAGGTGTGGCTACCACCTAGCCGTTCCTCCTAGTTAGCACTCAAATTAGTAATTACTTTGTTTTGTTGTGTCTTTATTGTATTTTATAGAATATAGGGCCTTTTGAATCTGTTGGAATGTCATTGTGATCAATGAAAATGTCTCTGGGAGTAGATGTTTCATGTGATGATTGATCACATGACTTGTTATTTTAACTAACGCAGTAGGAGTGTCTTGGCACTAGTCTCGCGTGGGCAGACTCTCCACCTCTTTTTGACTTTTGGACGGCGGGCAAAAGTCAAAAAGGGGTGGAGAGTCTGGCCATGCGAGACTATCTTGGCACTAGGATATCCGGATACGATATGCACAAGTAAGAAAACACACCCACTGATGATTTTTATATAAGCATTTAACAAAGTAGATAATTTACCCCTCTGTAGACCCTCATTGGATTTAAATGGTTAATTAGTCTGGGTATATGTACAGTACATGCATTCAGCTACATGTACTGTAGCTGATTATTTTGGGGGGCATGAGTCATTTCCCAAGATAAAACAAACCAATCGTGGCCATGCCTGCTCTGTGGCATGCATGGCCACAATTTCTCCCTTCAAAATTTACAGATACATACTCTATACTACATGTATATAGTGCTATGATGTGTATACATTTACATTTACATGTAGTTGTAACTTGTACATGCCATAAAGTTTTTACATGTATGTCTAGCGTTGTTGGTCAATCTGAAATGTTCAGTTTATACAGTGTATGTACATTATACTATGTGTGTGTAGTTGTGTACATAGGGAATGTTATGATAACATTGAGCCATTTCCCAAAATAAACATGCTCAATAACACATGACAACAACTTTGCCAGAATTCCCCTCCAAAATTACCAGCTATCACGCATCTTCCTATGTATATGTATAATATCATTATAGAGTTCTGGTGATGATACTGTGGCACTAGTTAAACATGATAAAACTGAACCTGATGTTACTATAGCAGCACCAGACTGGTGAGTATATACTGTACATGTACTGTACCTACCTTTTACTGTATTATTGGTCTACCTCTTTCTTTCTAATGTTTCTCTCTCTCTTTATTTATTTGTAGGACTCATTTACTGGGAGAAGTAAGGCTGATATTTGCATTATAAACTTACATTAGCTGATTTATTTATTTATTTTATTTTATTTATTGTGTTTTATTAGATTGATTATGAAGTGACGCAAATCAAAAGAAGAAGTAAGTGAAATTAAAAATCATAAACTTCATCATCATATGCGTTCCCCCTTTCTCCTCCCTCCCTCCCTCTCTCCCTCCTCTCTCTCCTTCCTATCCTCCAGTGCATGAGTTGGAGGAGTTACAGGATAAACACAGTACAAGACCTGATGTGTTTGATGATGTTGAAGAAGAACACAACATTGACATACTAACTGCTGAAATATCACAAGTAATGATTAGTTATACATGTACATGTACTTTAATGTGAAGCTAAATTTACAATGTAGCTGTTTTCTATATACTATTGTCATTATAATTATTATAATATTTCTCTCTCTCTCTCTTCTCTCAGATGTTCAGTAGGGCTAAGCAAGGATTATTAGTAATCAATAGGCAAGCTAAAAATGGATCAGATCAGGAAAAGAAAGTTGCTAAGAATGTCGTATCATCGCTAGCAATCACACTACAAGATCTATCAGTGGATTTTAGAAAAGCACAGTCATCTTATTTAAAAAGTGAGAGAAATAAAGAGGGAGAGTTTTAGATGGTCATAACTTGAAAATTTGAGCTTGGAATTAGCTCAAACTTTCTACATAGCATAAGGACATCAATATATATCAGAAAATGTAATAAAAATTTGGGGTGATTTTGGAGCCATTTTTTGGAAAAAACCATGGGCTATAGCCTTGGGTATTTTTCGAAATTTGACCATTTTTAAAAACCGGCCATAACTCAAAAATTTGAGCTTGGAATCGGCTCAAACTTTTTACACAGCCTAAGGACATCAATATGTATCAGAAAATGTAATAAAAATTTGGGGTGATTTCGGAGCCATTTTTCAGAAAAACCCATGGGCTGCCTTGGGTACTTTTCAAAATTTTCCGTTTTTAAAAAATGGGCGTAACTTGAAAAATTGAAAAAAATTGTAATAAAAAAGAGCCAATTTTTACTTTGTTGCCATTAATTAATTAATATTATTATTATTATTATTATTATTATTATTATTATTATTATTATTATTAATAGGGATGAAAGGACGTGAGGAGAGGGTTATTGCTGGTGAGTTAAGACCAACAATTGATACTAATGGAAGAGGAGGAGGAGGAGGAGGAATGCAGTTTGATGATGAAGAAGAAATTGAAGTACTAGTAGATAAAGGTACAGTAAGAGTTAATACTAATGCATACTAATGTAAAACTACAGTACATGTACTTCACTACTTGACCACACCTCTTAATTAGCTACACAGCATATGCGTACATGTACATGTACTGCATGTACACATTATGAAACTCCTTTCTCTCCCTCTCTCCCTCCCCCCTCCCTCCCTCCCTCCCTCCCTCTCTCTCTCTCTCTCTCTCTCTCTCTCTCTCTCTCTCTCTCTTTCTTTAGGTTTCACGTCAGGTCAGTTGTCACAGTTGGAGGATAATTCTGAACTGATAGAACAAAGAGAGAGAGAAATAGTATCAGTAGTTAGATCAATATCTGAAATAAATGAAATGTATAAAGACCTGGCAACAATGGTAGTGGAACAGGTTAGGATAAGTTGAAGCTTTAATTTTATTGTTGTGTGTTATTGTTATCGTTGTTGTTGTTATTGGTATTGTTGTTGTTGTTATTGGTATTGTTGTTGTTGTTATTATCATTATTATTATTATTATTATTAATCTATTCTTGTTATTAATTACAGGGTACAATATTGGATAGGATTGATTACAATGTTGAGAGGACACTTCATAAAGTCACTGAAGGTGTCAAACAACTGGAGAAGGTAACAAATAATCATATTATGTAAATGCATGTGTATGTAGTTCAAAGATAGAAAGTTGTGCAAATGAAAAGATGTAGAATATGGTCAATTTTGGTCATATGAGCCATGCCATAATTTTCTCTGTAATTAAACTTTTGTGTTTCAACTAAATTCATGAATATTTTCATTCTTTTTTTTGAAAGAAAGTTTTAATTTCACTGCATACAGTGTTCTTTTTTGTTTTTCCTTGCCTCTCACACACTTCATGCTAAACCCTCTCTCTCTTTTCTTCTTAGGCTGAGAAGCATCAGAAGAGATCAATCAAGTTAATTATTATAATAGTATTAATAGTTATAATAGTAGTGGCTGTTGTTACTTTTATTATTGTTAAAGTTGTAAGGAAAGGAAAAGGAATTATTTAATAATACATTGGACAATGACAATGCTAACATAATTTGTTAATTAATGTGCCTACTGTATGTGTTTAATA